ATACGATTTCTTCAGAGACGTGGATTTGAATGCCTTGCTGCTGACTATCATGCCAAACTATGGCCTGGGAGACTTCTTTCAAATTGCATAGAAATCTTAAAATGAGAGGCATTATTCTACTATTTGTAAGATGTGAAAAAGTAGGGATGGCCCCTCTCACCATGGCTTCAGTGTAAGTACCCAGGCTCCAACGGAAAACAGCATGAGGGACAGTGGATTTGTATTGCCCTATAACAGATGGGCACAGAGTAATGGGTTTAATGTTTTACAGGTACCTCAACAGAGAATTTCTTGCATCAGCCTTTTAAATCTCAGCTCAATCTGCCAGATGTGGAACATTTAACAGCTTTAAAAAATGTGGTGTTTAGTAGATCATTTTCCTGTTAGTGTATTTAAGGCTATTAGCGAAAAATCTCAGAGGTCAGAAACATACAATGTACATAAATAATTTCATGTATGACTAGCTGTAGGCCCTGATGCAAAGTTTGATGTGCCTGGTATTGACTGTAGTCATGCTGTGAAAATTAGAGATTGACTGTGGTCCTCTGAGTGAAGAAGGCATAAAAGTAGGCTACATCCCACCTTGATGGTTGAAAAAAGTGTTGTGGTACTTGTCCCTATCTTATTCCCTCTGATGATCCTCAACTGTTTCTGTGACAGAAGCGCTCTTTGACGGCCTCAGTACATGCACCTGCTTTCAGGATACTCCTTACCTCATCCATAAACAGAAGCACTGACCACAAAATGATGCTGATACCTATTCCTTGCTCTTAGCATCACTGTCATGTTAGTGTTAGCTGATTGCATCAGGCAAATGTATTAGAAGAGAACATTTTCAGGGAGCTGAGACTGATCTGGCTGTAGAGTTTGGTCTCCATGAGTCATCTCATGGTGTGGTCCTGTTCGCAAATGGAGTTAACTCTATCTTAATGCTGGGTAGGCTTCTCGGTAATCCCTCTCAGCAGTGAACCTTAGTATCCTGCTGAGGAAGAGCTGCCTTGCATCCAGCCTCTGCTTGTTCATGCCTCATTTACCTCTGTCTGCTTATTCTGTAGAGCATCTGCAGTTTATCTTGATAAATCTGGGTTCAGTGGGAACTCGTAGGCCTGGTGAAAGGTTGTGGGGACTGAATGGGTTACGATTGTTATAAATCGCTTACTGTTTTATTGCTTGTATTCAGCATTAAAAATCATATGGGGGTTTGGAACAAGCTCTGAGCAGTGAAGACCAGCACCTCAGAGCACCTCGCGCCTATCACAGCTTACTGTTTTGCTTGTTTACACAAGTCGCTCTTAAATTTTAATAAATACTCTTGACAAATTGAAGTAACAAGTTCAGGCATTTGGTT